TTGATCCCGTCGATGATTCTAACGGTACAATCGACACGTCACTGTACGGATCTGCCATTTCAAATCCGTTAGTGAATCCGTCGGCAATATAAATGGCGGTCGCTATACGGCCTGTCTTTTTGAATCCATCGGTGATTTCGTCTGAAAAAATAACCCACCAAAACCTCCACGTCAGCGATCCATTTTTTTTTACGACGGTGACGTTTCTGTCCGTAATTCGGTCGGTACGATGGTGACGTTTCTGTCCGTAATTCGGTCGGTAACTACTAACGGAAAATTTTCGCCGATAGTTACCGACTGAATTATGGACGGAATATAATCGTCGGTAATTTTAACCTCCAATTACCGACAGAGTTATTTCATCGGTAAATCCGTTGCTATTTAGCGAATTTCTTGTAGTGATTTATTGGATGAAATAAGAAACAAACTTCTTAGAGAAGAGCTCAACTTTGACATTACTGATCTTATAGCACATCACTCCATGTCTTTCCCATCTCTTAACAGATCTCAAAAAGATGTCTACGAAATTGTTGTTGGTAATGTTATAGCAAAGCAACAAGCATTGATTTTTGTGCATGGCCGTGGAGGAATTCTGAAAACATTTTTATGGCATACAATAACCAATTTTATCAGAGCCGAGGGTTTGTTTGTTCTAGTTGTTGCTTCCTTTTTATTGCCAGGTGGGCAAACTGCTAGCTTATTCCAGATTCAAGATTCCTCTTAACGTTTCTGACTTGTGAGATTAAGAAAAAATCTTGCTTTGGAAGCACTTGATCGCTCTTTACATGATGTTCTTTCAGATAACAGCTTGGCTAATTGAAATAAGCTGTTCGGTGGGAAGTCGGTTTTTTTGGGTGGGGATTTCCGCCAGATACTGCCTGTTATACCCGAAGGTACAAAAGATGAGATTATACATGCTTCTCTTTGCAGCTCAGTTCTATGGCCAAAGTTCAAAGTTATGAGTCTAAAAGAGAGCATGTGTCTTTCACCTGATGACCTTAGCATGAAGGAAAAACATGAACTCGCCATGTTTGCTGAATGGATTCCTTCCATTGGTAATGGAACTATTTGTGACTCTCTCTCCTCGGGAAATTGTGATACTTCCTTCATCAAGATTCCTGATGATCTCTTGCAAGACAATGTATCAGACCTGATCTCATCTATTGTCGATATGGTTTATCCAGACATCAACACCGAACAAATAGCCCCTTCATATCTCCGTGAAACAGCAGTTGTGACAACAAAAAATGAAATCGTCACCAATATTGTCCCCGGTGACAAACGTATCTATCCTAGCACAGATTCTGTCTGCACTGCGTTAGGTGATACCTGTTGCAATTAATTTTGAAATTTTCGTTCACAATGTCTTTAAATTTTTGTAGGCATTTCCTAGTGTATACATGTAATTATAATAAATAAGTGTTTATCCTTTATGTCTCTTGAATTATCCTAGACTAATATAAATCTAAGTCTAAAATCATTAAATTTCTTTTCTTATGAGAGGGAGAGTAATATTTATACGAATAAGATTTATTTTTCATTAAATTTATCATATTTTTATTTTTATCTTTTTCTTTTATATATTTCTAATATGGAATTAAAGCTAGTTCACTAGAGTATGAAATCTTAAAATAAAATGAATAAAAAAATAACATTAAAAAAAAAGAATGTAAGAAGATAGTTCTCAACAAGAAAATTTGAACTTTATATTAAAAAAAGATTAAAAAACCTAAGAATGAGATTTATTCAAGAAACTTATAATACTCCAAACATATATTTATACCACTCTAGAAAATTTATTTTTCACCACATTTCCCATGGTCCTATATTTACTTTCTCTTTCAAATATTTCTAACACTACCAACACCGTCGATCTGTTATATCCAATCGAATTCATTACCCAATTAGAATTCAAATGGCGTTCCTTCCATTATACTTCCATCTGTTATAACAATCTCTGTGTCTTTTTTCTTCCTTTACATTTCTTTTTCATAGGTCAATGAATGCCACTGATAGAAAAATTAGAATTATGCTATAATTTTCTATTGCAGATCAAATATCAGGTTTTCACATTCTAAAATTCAAAACAGATTTTAGTTCAGCAACATGTCTCTAGAAAAAAAAAACCAAAAGAAAAAGGGTGAGTGTCGTGTGGGTTAGTGCTATGATTGTTTGGACCTTTTGTGGAGTGGAATTATTTGGAATTTGGAAGAGGGCGTCCCCTTCAATTCTATGGGTCTAAGTCTTCGTAATTTTTTTTTTCCCTGTTAAAAAATTACCCGGTCATAATCTAAAAAAAAAATTATTGATATATGATTTTTTTTAAAAAAATAAATAAATTATTTGATTTTTCTAAATAAAATTAAAAAAAATAAAGGTTAGCCATTTTAAAAAGAAATCCACAAGGTATCATGAACCAACCAATTTCTAGGCCTAAAGGCCCAAAGTAAGTGTGCTTGCTCATTTTAATTTTAATTGGTATGTATATAAAAAATCAATTTAAAATCTAAAATATTTTTAAAATTAGATCTAATTTCTAAAGTAATATTAAAGTGAAATAACTTTTAATTTAATTTTTTTTATTGAATGGAACTCATGAAATATTAAAATTAATTTTTTTAATAATTAAAATCACATCTACCATCAACTTTCTCTCTTTCCCTCTTTCCCATTAGAATTCAACTAGTCTCTCTTTTATCTTTATAATTAAGAGCTAAAAAATAAAAATAAAATTAAACTAAAATTACCTTTTAATAAAATGAGTGAGTGTCGTGTGGGGTTAGTGGTATTTTTCCAAGACAATTTTGACATGTATAGCGAGGAGCCTTCTATCTTTGAATTTGGAAGTAAATAGAAAATAATAATAATAATAATTCAGTCTCCTAAGGCTAAACTATGCTTGTTTGGACCTTCTGTGGTATGGACTTTGAAAGAGGACATTCCCTTCAATTCTACGAGTCCAAGTCTTCTAAAAATTTTCACCCATTTTTTTGTCATTGATTGCCTTAAGAACCGGCAGTCAATAGTCGTGAGAATTGCATATTTTCTAATGCAATCAACAACGAATCATTTAATTCGAAAAACAAAATCATTTAATTAGGTAAAAAATATAATTTGAGTTTAGCATGTCAAGAATATAATCAGGATATGAGACCGGAATATCACAATAAAAAACAAATACAGATTACAAAACTTAAATTCCAGATGAAAAAAAAAAAATTGTCTATTGTTCAATGCACAGTGAGATTCATCATGTTTTTGTTTTAGTATAATAAAATAATAATAATAATCCAAAAATGTCTTAATCTCCCCCTTAAGAATGTGAGGAGAGAGAAGTTGTCGGAATAAACATGTCAATGGAATCCTCTATTCGTTAAGAATGAGAAAAATGGAGTCCTTGAAGATGATTGTTCACTCATACATGAAAAATGGAGCACCGCTTTCGTGGTAAAGAAGTTGGGGCTATAAATATGAATATTTTCACATCTAAGCCATTCATTAACTAAGCTACAGACAAAAACCATAGAAGTAACGATGGTTTACATTCCCATACTTCTTTTTTGCTTCTTTACATTGCTGAATAGAGTAACGGCCACGGCCATTGACATCATAAACACAACTCAGTTCATCAGGGATGGCGATACTATAGTTTCAGCAGATGGAACCTATGAATTAGGATTTTTCAGCCCTGGAAAGTCAAAAAACAGATACTTGGGCATATGGTATGGGAAAATACCAGTTCAAACTGTAGTTTGGGTTGCCAATAGAGAAACTCCCCTTAATGATTCGTTGGGGGTCTTAAAGATAACAAACGAAGGAATTCTTATCCTTCTCGATCGCAGTGGGAGCTTGATTTGGTCTTCCAACACACCAAGACCTGCGAGGAATCCAACCGCTCAACTATTGGAGTCAGGAAACCTTGTTGTGAAAGAGGAGGGTGATAACAACCTGGAAAATTCCTTGTGGCAGAGTTTTGAACATCCAGCTGATACGATATTGCCAGGCATGAAGCTAGGAAGGAGTAGAATAACGGGAATGGATTGGTCCATGACATCATGGAAATCAGAAGATGATCCTTCCAGAGGTGACATTACATGTAAACTTGCTCCTTCCGGATATCCTGACATGGTTGTGATGGAAGGTTCGCGAGTGAAGTACCGATCTGGACTATGGGATGGTCTGCGGTTCAGTGGCATACCTAGAACAAAACCAAATCCCATATACACATATGAATTTGTTTTCAATGAGAAGGAGATATTTTACCGAGAAACTCCTGTTGATAAGTCGATGCATTGGAGGCTCGTGACAAGACAGAATGGTGATATCGCGAGCTTTACTTGGATTGAGAAAAAACAAAGTTGGTTGCTTTATGGAACAGCAAATACAGATAATTGTGATCGATATGCACTATGTGGTGCAAATGGTTTCTGTGATATTCAAAGCTCTCCAGTGTGTGATTGTTTGAATGGATTTGTACCAAAATCTCCAAGAGATTGGGACGTGACTGATTGGGCAAATGGTTGTGTTAGAAGAACTCCCCTAAATTGTTCTGGAGATGGGTTCCGAAAGCTCGCTGGATTGAAGATGCCTGAGACAAAATCATCGTGGTTTAGCAAGACGATGAATCTTGAGGAGTGCAGGAACACGTGCTTGGAGAAATGCAACTGTACAGCATATTCAAATCTGGACCTCAGGAATGGAGGAAGTGGGTGCTTGCTCTGGTTCGGCGACCTGGTTGACATTAGAGTTTTTGCTGAAAATGAGCAAGAGATTTATATACGAATGGCCGAATCAGAACAAGGTATGAATTTATCTTCAGACAAGAAAAGTCAGTATTATTTTAATAACCTTGCAAACTGTGTTTCCTTGTAAATATATAAAACAGGATCCAGACACTTCACTAAAAAGGAGTGATTCACTCTTAGTAAAGTGTCTGGATCCTGTGTTATATATATATTTAGAGTCAAGATTTGCCCCATCCACACCATTGCCATCATGTACAAATCCTTGCTAATAGGTAACCAAGAGGAAGGGTGCTTGTAGCTAATAAAAAATTTCTAGCCATACTAAATTCTATTCGATTTACTTTCCTATTGTTGTATTTTCACTCCAGTTTTTCTCTGCCAAGTTGTAGATAATGGAGATGGTGCCAAGATAAATAAAAAATCCAAAGCGAAGAAAAGGATCATAGCAAGCACTGTGTTGTCTACTGGGATTCTGTTCGTTGGCCTAGCCTTGGTCTTGAGTGTTTGGATGAAGAAGCAGCAGAAAAACAGTACGTAATTCACACCATGAACATTTAACAAATACTCCATCTCTCCTTTTTCAGATAAGTTTTGATTCTTTTAAATTTTGATTTTAAAAAATACAAGGCAACGTTAAAATGTTAAGAGTGTATTTGGTGACGTAGAGAAATCATGCTGGGGCCAAAAATATCGTTCCCATGCTTCGTTCTTATTCATGCCAGTTCCTCCTGCAGGAAAAATAGCAGATGCTCTGGAAAGAAGTGCAAATCATATGCACAAGGAAGATCTAGAGCTACCAATGTTTGATTTGGGTACTTTGGCTTGTGCAACAAATAATTTTTCTGTTGAAAATAAACTTGGAGAAGGGGGTTTCGGATCTGTTTATAAGGTACTAATCTATAAAGAATCAGGCATCTAGATGGCTTCAGAATTTCATGGTACAAACTCATGGCACCATTGATTTTTTTTGGTATTATTTTCCTTGGAACTTCCATGGGACTGAGCCTTCTAAGAATAAAACAATGACTCTTCAGAAAGTGTTCAAACTTCAGAGTTACAACAGATGCAAGTAGCGTGCAACATCATACCATGACTCCCAACTTTCACAAGACCAAGTATGATTGCTTATGATACTGTGTGATTATTTGCAGGGAACATTAGAAGACAGGCGAGAAATAGCTGTGAAGAGGCTCTCTAAGAACTCAAGGCAAGGACTTGATGAGTTCAAAAATGAGGCCAATTATATAGTGAAACTTCAGCACCAGAATCTAGTGAAGCTTCTAGGATGCTGCATTCAAGGAGATGAAAAGATACTGATCTATGAGTTTTTGCCTAACAGAAGTTTGGACATTTTTATTTTCGGTATGAATCTCCCAAAACCCCTACAAGTTCTTTCCAATTATTGCACTTTAAATCTTTCTCCACTTTCATGGTCACACATGCTGCCGTACCCAATTGTAATTTTAATTAAACATTTATTATGTTTACAAGTATGGATTACCTTTTCTCCTAGTTTTTTATGCATTTTAAACAATTTGACAGAACATACACACAGCTTTCTACTAGATTGGCCCAAGCGCTGCAACATTATCTTTGGGATTGCTCGTGGACTGCTTTATCTTCACCAAGATTCAAGACTAAGAGTAATTCATAGAGATCTGAAAGCCAGCAATATTTTATTGGATGATGACCTAAACCCAAAAATCTCAGATTTTGGCCTGGCTAGAAGTTTTGGAGGAAACGAAACTGAAGCCAATACTAATAAAGTGGCTGGTACATAGTAAGTGTCTCCTCCTGTGTGTGTTTCTGTCTTCATTTTTTCACTGAAAAAACTTAGCATTCCCTGAATAAGTGCAGTGGCTACATATCCCCTGAGTATGCCAATCATGGACTCTACTCACTAAAATCGGACGTCTTCAGCTTCGGCGTATTGGTGCTAGAGATAGTGAGTGGAAACAGGAACAGAGGATTCATTCATCCAGACCACAACCTCAACCTTCTAGGACATGTAAGCCATCCACACCACACCTATGTTAGGTTCCAAGTGCTTGGCATGTTCTGTCTTTGGACACTTCAAATGCTTGAAATATCTGTACATATTTTGAATCTGACAATGAAATGCATGACGGATTCTGGATCCTTGAGTCCAGGGACGTATTCTATTATATCTAAATATCAAATCTATTTTAATTACATGATTCTGCTTATCAGGCTTGGAGATTGTTTGAAGAAAACAGGCCTTTGGAACTGGTTGCAGAATCACTAGTAATAGCATGCAATTTATCTGAAGTGCTACGTTCGATTCATGTGGGTTTATTGTGTGTGCAAGAAAATCCAGAAGATAGGCCAAACATGTCAAATGTTGCTCTGATGTTACGTGATGATGATACTCTACCTCAGCCTAAACAACCAGGTTTCTTCACTGAAAGGGATCTGACTGAAGCAAGACATTCATCGAGCCTGAGCAAACCATGTTCAGTTAATGAATGCTCGATTTCAGAGTTAAGACCAAGATAGATTGCATTTTGCGCTGATATTTTGTATTGTTTCTAGATGGTTGGTCTCTACTTTTCGAAATATTATTTTGTGGTTATGTACTAGGCATATATAATTCAGCCATCCCACAAAGAAATAATGTATTTTGATCAACTATGGCAATATATGTATGGTATGTAAGGCTGGTGTAATCAAAGGTACGCATGAAGTGTAAAGAAATGGAGCTTCAAGTTATTTAACTCCATGGTGGCACATTCATAGAACTAGCTTCCATGATTTTCTTTGCTTCCGTGATAAGAACTGTCCACGACCATTTTGAGAGATCTCAAATTACGCCCTGTTCTGTAAAATATCTTGGCAAACTGCAGAGCAGTTTCTCATCGAGGATATCTGTCGTCATCATCACAAAACCGCAGCTTAAAAGACAAAACCTGTCATCGTAAAAGATGCACTGTCACTTTTGGCATCAGGTGAGTAGAAAATTAGTTTTTCTTACCGCCATACATGCCCTGACTTACTACCAGAATAGCACGGGGGCGATGACTTACCTACACGTGTGGTACACGCAAACTTATTTTATTGATTTATTAATATTATAATAATACATATTACTAAAAAGAGCATACAAATATTATGAAAAAACAATGATGCAAATATAAAAACACCCTCCCAAGACAATTTTTAATTTTTCAAAGTCAAAAGAAAAACAAGAAATTTTATTATACATAAAATGTGTAAATACAAATCAACCCTTCTTTTAAAAGGCTAATATATTTTAGATTTTAAATGCATAAACTTATTTAACTATGTAAATAAATACAAATAAATCTATAAAGACACAAAAATCCCTTGACTAAAGGCCAATTTTTTGAGCTCTCAAGAGCAATATGCTCTTATAGTATTTTTACTATATATAAAATATACAAACAACAAATTTGCCCCAATCAATTCTCAAATAACTTTTAAATTCCATGAAAAATACAATTTCATCCTTGTTGTTAAGACAATTATTAAAAGCAATAAAGAGTAAAACTATCGTTACACGTGCTTGAATCTGATTCCTCCTCAAATATCCTTTTAGTTTTTCGTTAATACTTCAAGTTGTTAAATAGTATGGTTGACCCTGGCTAGCAAGCAGTATGACAATGTTGTGTCTTGGACATATGTTGTGAAACCAAACCACAAAGCAAAACAGCCCGCGAATCAGTGGATGACAATGTTGTGCCTTAAAGCCGCACGTTCACGCGCCACCAAGCCATTTTCCTTCCCTTTCTCGTCTCAGAACTACCAGCTCAAGCCCTTCTTCCTCTCCTTCAAGCCTTACTCTGCATCATCCCAATCCCAAATCAAAATGTCATCATCCACTCCATCCCAGACAGTAGAACACATAGTCCTCTTCAAAGTCAAAGAAAACACTGACCCCACTAAAATCAACACCATGATTAATTCCCTCAACCGTCTGATCTCACTCGACTCCGTACTCCACCTAAACGCCGGTGCCCTCTACCGCACCAAATCCTCACCTATTCCCTTCACTCACATGCTCCACAGCCGTTACTCCTCTAAAGAAAACCTCTCCGCTTATGCTGTTCACCCTAGCCATGTCAGCGTGGTTAAAGAATCGGTTCAGCCAATCTGTGACGACGTCATGGCCGTCGATTGGGTAACTGATGATCTCAACGGTGGTGGTTCATTGGTCCCACCTCCTGGGTCAGCGATTAGGTTGTCATTCCTTAAACTAAAAGAGGGTTTAGGGGATGAAGTGAAAGATGAGATACTGGGGTTAATTAAGGGGATTAAAGGGAAATATGGTGGGATTCATCAAATTAGCTGCGGTGAGAATTTCTCAGCTAGAGCCAAGGGTTATTCGATTGCGTCGCTAGCTGTTTTTCCAGGATTGAGCGAATTGGATTCCAAGGAAGAGCTTGTGAATTTGGAGAAAGCCAAGTTCAGAGATTATCTGCAGAGCTTTATTGTTCTTGATTATGTTGTGCAGCCGTCTACCTCTACTCTTTAAAGATTTCTGTTTTTTTTTTCAAGCCCCTTTGGTTACTCTTTGAGATAGAAGAGACAAATACAGAAGGGAAATAAATGCATTTGGTTGCCGAGACAAAGGACAGTTGTGGAGTGAATTTATATCTGTTCTGTTCCGAGACTCTATCTCAGGTATTTGGATTGCTTATGTCCCTGCTTGCTTTTGCTGATCATTTAGTATCAATAATTTAAACTTGATATCCAATGTATTAAGAAGTGTTAAAATGGCTAGTAGTTGAGTTGGTTTTGTATATGTCATCCTCTCCTGAATCCTTGTAAGTAGTGAGATTGAGATTGTGGATGTTTAAGTAGTAGCTTTATTAAGCTCTGGTGGCGTAGGATTCGATCTGCTAATGCTAGCAAAATGTCAACTTCTTTAAATCAATAAAAGAAAACGAGCAACATCTTTTCGCCCATTCTGGGTTTCCTTTAGCAAATAAAACTACAGGTTTTGATCAACTGTCTGAGATAAAAATAAAAAGCTTTGTGATTGTTACTTCATTGGTGGAAAATAAAAATTAAAAATAAGCTTTGTGATTGTTACTTCATTGGTGGAAAATATGTCTTTCTTGTTTTCTTCGATCAATTTTCTTTCGGTGAAGAAACCAGGCTCTTCAGGCTGCGGCAGTGCCCCATCTCCTTCCAACATATGAACCACTCTTGACATGCTCAGCCTATCTTCTGGAGAGTGTTGCTCACGTAATAGGCCCACATGGATTGACCTTAAAACTTCAGAAAGATGGCAGGATTTTACTATCAATTCATCAATCAACTCTAAAGATCTGCCTTCTTTATTGAGCTTCCATATCTGAAATTTGAAAGCATTTGTTTTTAAATTGAAATAGTTCTTAAAAATTGGAACCCTTGTGTTAATGCTAATTTGAAAATACCTAGAATGAAAATAAAAGTCCTTACATGCCCAAGAAGATTGAGTTCATGTTCTGGATGAGTAAATCCCCTGTTTCTTTCCCCCCTGACAATCTCTAATACCAAAACACCAGAGCTAAATACACCGGATTTTATTGAGAAGACACCATCAATGGCATACTTTGGTGACATATAACCACTACATATCATCAAACAAGTTAATGAGCTTTTGCTAGTAAGATATGGACGTACTTCTATTTCATTTTTCTTTTCCTACGCAAAGGGGGAAAATAAGAACTCTTACTATGTTCCTACTACTCTTCTGGTATTTGCTTCTGTTTCATTTTCTGCAAAACTTTTGGCCATGCCAAAGTCTGAGATTGTTTGATTCATCTCCTTAAGATTTCTATGAATAATTAGTAGTCTAGAGTCTTGATGGAGATAAAGCAGTCCCCTTGAAACCCCATTGATGATGTGGAACCTCTTAGGCCAATCCAGCAACTTGCTTTGCACTTGGTCCGCCTATTATATGCATAACCGGCAGATTAATTCATGTGGCTGCTAATTTTACATATAAGTGTGTCTGATTGTAACTTGCTGTGAATATGATTTTGGAATGGGATTACGTGAAAGAAAAAAGAAGTCCAGTTTAACCTGGTTCTTGTGGGTGTACTCAACTATATTAGACGTGGTAAACCCTGAAACCTATATGAACTGATACATATTTGCCAGTTAGTCTTTGATTGGTAGGGTTTGAGGTGAAACAGAGGTTCTAATGCATTCTTTCTAGCATATCATATGTATGAAGCTACTAAAATGAAATTATCTTGAAAAAGCATATGGTGAATATATAGAAGATTCAAAGATCCTAACCAAATATGTAGAGGCCTAGACTTTTGTTGGGCATGTATTCGTAGATCAAAATCTTATCTTCTAGCTCTATGCAATATCCCAGAATCTTTACAAGGTGTCGATGTTGTAGCTTCATTCATGAATTCATCCAGCCCTTGTCTGGATTCCTTCGAAATCCTCTTCACTGCTATGTATTGTCCACCATTAAACACAATTATAAGGGGGGAAAATAAGAACTCTTACTATGTTCCTACTACTCTTCTGGTATTTGCTTCTGTTTCATTTTCTGCAAAACTTTTGGTCATGCCAAAGTCTGAGATTGTTTGATTCCTCTCCTTAAGATTTCTATGAATAATTAGTAGTCTAGAGTCTTGATGGAGATAAAGCAGTCCCCTTGAAACCCCATTGATGATGTGGAACCTCTTAGGCCAATCCAGCAACTTGCTTTGCACTTGGTCTGCCTATTATATGCATAACCGGCAGATTAATTCATGTGGCTGCTAATTTTACATATAAGTGTGTCTGATTGTAACTTGCTGTGAATATGATTTTGGAATGGGATTACGTGAAAGAAAAAAGAAGTCCAGTTTAACCTGGTTCTTGTGGGTGTACTCAACTATATTAGACGTGGTAAACCCTGAAACCTATATGAACTGATACATATTTGCCAGTTAGTCTTTGATTGGTAGGGTTTGAGGTGAAACAGAGGTTCTAATGCATTCTTTCTAGCATATCATATGTATGAAGCTACTAAAATGAAATTATCTTGAAAAAGCATATGGTGAATATATAGAAGATTCAAAGATCCTAACCAAATATGTAGAGGCCTAGACTTTTGTTGGGCATGTATTCGTAGATCAAAATCTTATCTTCTAGCTCTATGCAATATCCCAGAATCTTTACAAGGTGTCGATGTTGTAGCTTCATTCATGAATTCATCCAGCCCTTGTCTGGATTCCTTCGAAATCCTCTTCACTGCTATGTATTGTCCACCATTAAACACAATTATCCTATCAAACTCGTAACTCTTGATATGGATTTCACCCGCTCAAATTATTTGTTTTAACCCATTATTATCTAATTAAAAAATTGAAAATTAATTTATAATTAATTTAATATTGACTACTACTCTTCTGGTATTTGCTTCTGTTTCATTTTCTGCAAAACTTTTGGTCATGCCAAAGTCTGAGATTGTTTGATTCCTCTCCTTAAGATTTCTATGAATAATTAGTAGTCTAGAGTCTTGATGGAGATAAAGCAGTCCCCTTGAAACCCCATTGATGATGTGGAACCTCTTAGGCCAATCCAGCAACTTGCTTTGCACTTGGTCTGCCTATTATATGCATAACCGGCAGATTAATTCATGTGGCTGCTAATTTTACATATAAGTGTGTCTGATTGTAACTTGCTGTGAATATGATTTTGGAATGGGATTACGTGAAAGAAAAAAGAAGTCCAGTTTAACCTGGTTCTTGTGGGTGTACTCAACTATATTAGACGTGGTAAACCC